CAAGGCACGGGGGGCCTGGGGGAGCCTGCTTGGCCGGCTCCGAGGGCCTGTTCGCCCTGCCCATCCCCTGGGCCTCCCTGCGCCTAGCAACTCAGTCTGCAATGTCCGCGGGGTCTTTGTTCTCTCATCCTGGCCTCCGGGATTGGATCGGAATTCATAACACTTTAACAACTGTTAAACCCTTCCTGTCTTCCTGCTAGTATTATAGTATTTCATGCCCAAATATATATTAAACTCTATATTTCATTTTATTATCTGATACAATAAGCATTATTTTCTGTATTCCCACAGATTTGCCCATTCTGAAGTTTATTATGTCTTTCTGCATCATTGTGCTTCCTTCTGGGATAATATTCCTTCATGTGAAGAACTCTTTTTAGTAGTTTTTTAGTGAAAAGTTGCTGGTGATTAAATTCTGTTTTGGTTTATCTAAGAACACTGTCACTCTGCCTTCATTTTGATGTATATTTTCACTGTGTATAAAGTTCTGAGTTGTCAGGAACCTCAGCAGAAAGTTGGTTTCCCATTGATTTTCAATTTCTGTCACCACTGAAAAAATCAGATGTTGATCTGAAGGTAAAGCGGTTTTTCTCTTTGACTGTGGTTTTCATAGGCTTTTTCACTTGGGGTTTTTAGTAGTTTTATTGTGATGTGCCTAAATACAGTTTTCTTCATATTCATCTTATCACTTCTTGGATTGCTGTCTACTATTAATTTTGGAAAATTAGTTGGTAGCTTCTCTTTGAATAGTGTGTTTCCCCCATTCTCTTTCTTTTATCTTTGTGATTACATGTGTATTTTTCTACGTGGCCTCACAATCTTTTTATACTTTTTTCTATGCTCCAAATTGATTATTGTCCCATTTTTATAACTCGTCTGTTATGTCTAATCTGCTGCTACACAGTTATTGAATTTGTAAATTCATTAATTGTATCATTCCATTTTAGACATTCAAATTGATTGTTTCTGAGACCTTGTTTTCTGTTGAAATTGTCTTTTAATCACTTTCCTTGAATATACTAATCAAATTGTTTCATAGTTTGTATCTGACAATGATAGTATTTTAATCACGTGTGTCTGGTCTAATCTGTTTTATCTCGTTGGTTTCATCCTTTTGGTCCTATTTCTTGGGCTATCTGTTAATTTTGGGTTGAATACTGTACATTGAATATGAAAAGTTATAGAAACTGGGTGATGTTATACTTTTTCAGGTAACTTTTTTCTGACAAGCAGATAAATGTAGACATACAACTTTCATCTACCCAGGGATTGCACTGACCCTATGTTCTGCTGAGGTGCTTTGAGAACATGTCTGAGTACGCCCTTACTCCTAGAATGTTGTCTTTAAGGTTGTCAGTGCAAAGTCTGAGGCATTTCTTAACATCCTTCCTTTATGCAGGCTACTGAGCCTGCCACAAATTCTCCAATAGCATGTTCTTTTGTTTTCTCTCTATTCTGAATGCTATTAATCTGAAATACTTTGGTGAGAGTAAAAACAACAGGAAGAAAGTATGGAGTTCACTTCAATATGTTTTTTCTGTCTACCAATTTGCTTCCTCAGAATGCCTTTGTGTGTCTATGTGTGCCTCCAAATAGGTGCTTCTTGTCCATTTTCAGCTTTTATAGTTCTCAGTGGAAGGACTGGCTTCCTCAAAGACAAGCCTATTAGCTTACATTACTGTCTTGCTATTCACTCTTGTACCTACCACAAGCAAGCTTTCTTGTTCATTCCACTAATTAGGTCACTTTCTTGTCAAGGCCACTTTCTTGGTCCATTTTTTGTTGCTGTAAGTGAATACCACACACTAGGCCAATTTAGAAAGCATAGGAGCTTGTTTAACTCACAGCTCTGGAGCCTCAAAAGTCCAAAGTTGAGTGACTGCTTCTCATGACGGCCCTCTCATGGTAAGAACTCTGCAGAGTCCTGAGGTAGTGGGGTATTATATGCAAGGGTACTAGCTCAAGTTTCTCTTGACTTAAAAAGCCCTAATTGCACCAGGAGGGCTCCACCCTTATGACCTCCTCTAATCTTAACTCTTAAAAGCTCTGCCTGCAAATATCACTAACATCTGACTTTAAGGATTAAATTTCCAATACAACAAATTTGGGGACACATTCAAACCACAACAATGACAATAACTGCCATAAGCCTAAATATGTTGGTTAATTTTCTGACTTGACTTTTTAACTTGCCTTCTCAACAGCATTCATAATACTTGATTCCCTGACACTTTCTTGAAACGCCCTACCCTGCTTTGACTTCGGGAACTCTGCATTATCTTGATTGTTAATCTCCCCTTCCAGCTGTTCATTCTGAGGGTGCTTTGTTAGTTTTTCCTCACATCCCAGACATGCAGAGTTTTAAATGCTAAAGGCTCAAAATTTTTTAGCCTTCCACTTCTCTACTCTCACTCTCTTGGTTGTCTCATCCATTTCATATTTAAATAAAATCTACAGAGGACAGCATAGATGATAGTTACCTGATGGTGCCTTGATTTATGAAATTTTAACTTTATGGTGGTACAAAATCCATACACATTCAGCAGGAACTAGACTTGAATTTTAAATTTTCATCTTTTTTCGGCGGGGGCTAATGATATGTCATACGATAACCTCATGCTGGGCAGCAACAGCAGCAAGCTGCAGCTCTAGTTGTCCATATGGTCCTGAGGGTAAATAACTGATATTCTGTAGTGTACTGTGTGGTCAGCGTTTCTTTGGGTACAAGTATTCAACACATTACATGAGATAACCAACAGTTTAGTATAAAATAGACTGTGTGTTAGGTGATTTTGCCCAACTGTAGGTTCATTCTGAGAATGTTTAAGGTAGGCTAAGCTAAATGATCATGTTTGGTAGGTTAAATCCTGGGATATTTTCAATTTTTGACCTAGTATTTTCAATTCGTAGTAGTTCTACCAGGATTCAACCCTATTATAAGCTTAAGCACACCTGAACATGCTGATAACTACCAAATTTATGCCTAATGTCTACACTTGCTTTCCTATCACAGCTGCAAATGTCCAATTAATTCAACATCTCCACTTAACCATATAGCATCTTAGGTATGACATGTCCCAATGTTCCCCCAAACTTGTACTCAACTCTTACCAATGTCAGTAATGTGAACACCATTTCCAGGTTATAATCCAAAAGCCTTTGTTATTCTTCTTTATGTAGTTATATTCCATCCGGAATATCATGATCTCAGATTTCAAAACATCTAAAATCCTGATTTCTCCAACCTAACCACCAACCTAATCTGAAATACGATTATCTCCTGTCCAATTCTATCACTATATCTTCAAAGCTTTGGTGGCTTGTTTCAGATTGCTGCCCATTTCCCAGTGTCAAAAGCTGATTAATCTCTCAGCTCCTGTTTCCCTAATCTCCTCCTCTATTATTATTCACCCTGCTGATGCCGCCACATATCTCCCGGCTTCCTTGCTGTTGCTTAAGCATTCCAACCATTGAGCCTGTTTTAGGCAGGTTTGTCTGCAATCCAGAAATCTTCTCTCTGTATTTACAGGCTGTCTTTCTTTTTTATCTCAGCATCTTTGCTTACCTCTGCAATCTAGCCTTCCCTGACCGCACTGCCTACAGTTGTACTCTGTCACCTTGCCTTGTTTTCTTTCTTCAGAGCATTTGTTACTAACTGATCTCATATTATGTTTTTATTTGCTTATGACCTATCTCTTCCACTAGAATCTAAATTCTTTTAGAGGAAAAACTGTCTTTTTCAATCCAATGCTAAGAACAGTTTACATAAAAAATACTTAAGGAATATTTGAAATAATAATAAAGCCATGGTGATAATCATTGTAAAAATATCATCTGAAACAAATATTACAATGCAGTATTCCCAAACCTTCACAAATGTACATGTATACATGTATTTTGAATTCACTGGGAAAGGGATGCTACGCAATTAGAGATAACTGAATGAATGCCTGTGTATTAGAAATTAAAAAACAGAGAGATATTTACATGAATTATATACAAATTAAGAATGTAAAGATACTTTTACAAATGTTAATTTTTGAAAACTTTAACATTTTTGTATTTTATTAAAAAGTAAGAATCCTGAACAATGATCTGAAGTTACAAGAAAACAATGACAACATAAAATTTAGCCAAATGATTTAATTATAAAAATGTATCTCTCAATTTATATAGAACTCCATTCTAGTTCAGAATAACATTAATATAGATATGTCTTTTTATACTGTTTATAAAATTTAGCAATTTTTGTATGATACTTTACATTTTCCTAGATTATTTTTAAAGTCTTTTATTTGTTCTTTGGTTTTGGACAAATTAACGGATATTTTAATGAATGCAGCCACTAATCTGAATTCAAAAATTGATATGAGAACTAATTAAGTTTGCTTTTTACAGTTCTTAACACAAACTCTGAAATATGGCTCATTTATCAAAGTAGGTTTTTATGAACACATGGCCTTAATATTTGTATTAGTTTAAAAAATACCATCCTTGATATAAGCATTATTTAGTAACCCCTAAATCTCATTTAATGTATGAATAAAAACTTTGACAAAAGTGAGAAAAAAGCTATGAGGTCACTTCTGGAATCAGTAAGAGAGTCAAGTTCTTACAAAATCTCTAATTGTAGTTTATCTTAAAATCAAAATATTTAGAAGATAAAATTTAAGATCTTTGTACCTGCTTCTATTTTTCAGTTTTTGCCACTGTATAAGCAATAAGTTCTTAACTGCAAACCTCTGAAACCAACCAAAGCAAAGCAATTATTGGATTTCAGTGATCTAAACAGATTCACTCCTCCCTGTTGTTCAGGTCAGGCTGCCTCTAGCCCTCTGGATCTCTTTGAGGTTTGGGTTCCGTAGGGAAGCAGCCGGATGGTGCCTGAAAACTACAAAGTGGCTTGAACAGCTGGCAGAAAGCAGAGTGTATGGTTCTTTTAGCAGCAATAACGGACCAGAGAACAACTAACCGGGGCCCAAGGTACAGATTCTTCAGACAGCTCACCTGTCTAGAAATTCCTCAGACTGGAAAACTGCTCTATCAGAATGGGTGTTTTCTCTTAAAAGTTACCATTGCTAATGTTAAGGAATAATTTAAAGAATTCCCAAGTGCTTGGATTTACTTGGTGTGGACGACTAAGCACTGGACACATTCCCTAGAGTTAAGGCATTTTAGCGATTCAGAGAGGTCTGGGTGTTTCCACTCACAGACAGGTTCCACTGCTGTGGAGAATGTAAAGGAGAAAGTAGCCAGTGCAGGCAAACTATGGGTTCATTTTTATTTTGTCACTATGATAAAGGACAATGCTAATTATGTTCTCAGTATACCTTTTCATTTCCACACATCTATAAATAAACAATAAACCCCTGTCCTTACAGCCAGAAATGGGTCTGAAAATAACTTATATGTGTATATAAATTTTTGATTTGGATTGATGGAAATCAGATCAACAAAGCATAAATATGTGATGGAGAAAAATTATGCTGCTTTGAGATGTGAGAATATCAAAACAAATCTAAAGACCTATATCATGATACATGAGCCTGGTGTTCAAGTGATTTTTCTCCTTTACTCCCTCCGTTCCATTTGCTATGTAGTGTCAGACACAGAAGCTTCCTCTGAAGAAGTACACCCAGGACAGAGAGTGAAGGAAGCTGCTGTTTTAAGAAAAAAGCGTTTAAAGGTCTCTTTCTAGACTGTGATAGAAAGACAGTGCTGCTGTAGACTGCCATCCAGAGGGACACTTCCTTGAAATAATAAAGATGAAACCACATGCAATGGATTTTAATGATGTTTATCTTCAGCTTTAAAAATCAATACATGTGGTTATGGAAGGTAATCATTATGCAGTGCAACCATGTACTAATAAAACATTTAAATCTGAAAAAAATAAAAATCAATAAATGTAAAGTAGTTTTAAATGGATTGGCTGGTTTAAAAATGAACACTAGTAAAACACAACTGGCTTAGGGGAATTAGCCACTGACACTTCTCAAAGTGGTTTCATAACCGAAACACTTTTTAGAAAACACATAAGATAATCAGCACAATGACCAGAGCTACCAGAATCTTTTTCAAATAGATTGTCTCAAATATGACTTTACTCTTTTATAAAGAACATGATATGACTTTACGCTTTTATAAAGAAAGTGATATCCTTGTTTAGGGTTTTTATGGAATTATTAAGAGAGTTAGATCAAAATATACATTGAAGTAAAAACTTCCCAAATGGAGTATATCTAGATAATATACTCTTACATGTTGCTAGTGTGTGAGTACATGAACACACTAATTGTGTGTACAACTGATAAAGTGAGGGAATTTAAACACACATTATTATATTCTCAGTAAATCCTGAAAAATCTCAAGAATGCTTTCAGTATAGATTAGTGAGTCCGACCTTTATTCTCTCTGCAGGGCAAAGTGTTCAAAATTAAGTTGCTTGTTAGCACTTAAATTTAGTTCTCTCAGGTAGTCTAATATCTCAGACTGTCAGACAAACTTAAGTAGCATAATACTTGTTCTTCAACTTTTCAAGTGGTAAATGCTGAGGTTAAGAATGTTCCAGTAAGTCCATAGCTCCCGTGAAGAAATGTCAAGATGGCACTTGGAACCTCTTTCTTGAAGCCAAAGTCGTCCTCTGAAAAGATTTAGGAAGGTACTGCGAACCTGAAACACAAATCAAAGAAGTAATTCTCATTTAAAAATCAACCTTTAAAGAGGATTATTTTATATATTCTAGGAGATGATATTTTTCAAACAGAAGAAAATAATTTTAATGTCAGTTGTGCACAAACTAGGAAATGGTCATACACAAAGACAGCCATTTGGAGTCCTAGGAAAAAGGAATGGTGCTCTTCACAACCAGGCCTACACACCAACCATGTGTTCTCTCCAGCTAGGACCCCCGAGGTTGGGCCCTGATGTCCAGGAAGTTCAGCAGGGAGCTTGGGCAGCCTCCCTGTTTTACAGGAGCAGCCATGCCCGTTGACTTCAGAGAGCTTTCCCACTACCAGAGAATATCCCTACCCCGGATCTTCTTTATCTTTCCAACACAGAACAAAGGAGAAGCTGATGAGTTTATACCTCCAGGTGCCTCTTGACCTAGAAGCAAAGCTAACAAGGAGGCCATGTGCCTGCATTTTAGAGAAAATGAAAAACAAACACACATATAGGAACGTGTCTTTTGTATGTCATGAAAAAGGCCTTTGACTATCCATGATAATAGCTATCTCAGGGCTCGGGGTGGAGCTCAGCAGCACAATGTCTGCCTGGCAAGTGCAAGGTCATGAGTTCAATTCCCAGTACAAAAAAAAAAAAAAAACCAGAAACATAATTGATAATAGCTATCTCAAAGTCATTGATAAGAGAATACGCTGACTTAGTATTTGGAGAAGGATCAAGGGTGCAGATTTCTCTCCCTCATCTCAGCTGCCATATACTCAAAAAGACCTTTCAGATATCTTCAGCTGGGTGCAGCAGCCAACATCCCAAAAGCCGACTTCAGGTGCTGGCCATCCGCAGACTCAGTCGTCTGTGCTCACCCCCTTTTGCACCCATGCTCTCCAGGACCCTCCCAGCCTACTATACTACTAGAAAATTGAGGCTGGTGGCTCCTTTACATCACTGCTCTTGTGGTCCTTCCCCTCTTCTCCCTAATACTGAATGTTTCTTGAATCACAGACCAAGTCACTATTCATAGTTGTTTGCCTTGGTTTCTTTCTTTTGGCTGAGCTGGGGATAAAACCCAGGACCTCACACACACTAGGAAAGTGCTCTCCTGCTGCGCGCAGCCCCAGCTCCAACGTGATGCTCTGAACTCAGCTAATTTAGCTCAGAACTTGCAACACACAGGCAGTGAGACTTCATTAGTACAATGGTATTGATGAACAAACAATCTTTGGTGTCTACTTTCCTCCCATCATCTACAGTTAATGTTAACTAAATACCTGATCACGCAGCATGGATGTCTAGAGAAAGTAATGTAACCATTAAGGCTGGTAGCCAACATTGCCAGGGAACATGAAAAGCTACAAAAAGGGACAGCAGGCAACAACTTTTAGGGCACAAGAAACAATTTAAAGGGCTAAAGACTCCCAGACATCTCTCTGTTACAGAATTATAGAAAGGCTTATACAGAGATAAATCTGAGTTGTATAATGCTTTAAAATTTACTTATTTTTAGAATTATACGATATTAAAAACTGTCCTTGAAACAATACATTATCTTTGACATATCAGATTATCTATAATGCAAATGGCTTATAATTTTTGGGCAGACAATATATGCCTATTATCTAACTAGGCCCATTTCATAGGTTTTCAGTGATTATTTGGCCCATGTAGCCTGTTACAAGAGAAGGAATTCAGACCAAGACAGGTTAGGCCTTTCCTAAGAATGGGCAGCTCCTAGGTAGTACAGCCAGGACGGAAGCCTGACATCAGGTTCCAGAGCAGCACACCTTGTGATTATGCTATAGCACCTCCACGGAATCAGAAAAGCATGTTATCAGTTTAAAAATCAAAACATCACTGGTCTGCATTCACACTCCAATTTTATTCTTCAAATCACATGTGTGTATATATACGTATGTATGGGTTTACTTAATTTTCATTTTTCATAGGAACAGAAATTGAACTCAGGGCCTTCACACTGGACTACATCCTAGAGTTTGTTTGCTTATTGTTTAAGACAGGGTCTTGCTCAGTTGCTGAACTTCCCAGGCTGGGTTTGATCTCATGAACCTCCTCTCTCAGCCTTCCAACGGGCTGGGATTACAGGTGTGTATCACCATATATATCTATCTGTGTAAGATTATGTATCAATCTGTAAAACTCTACACTATAAAATAATTAGCAAATCACTATTAATTTTCTCATGCATTTTTACCATTCAAAGGTGATTTAGGATGAGAATTTCCTTTAGAAGGAAAGCATGGAAACCTCACAGCATGGAGAGTGAACCCTCCAAAGGCAGCATGTCTCTGTCTCTGCCTCTGTCTCTCTCTCTCTGTGTCTCTGTCTTTTCTGACACCAAGGCCCTCAGCTAATGAAGCACATTTGGACCTTCTCCCCATACATTCGACCTGGCAGCAGTAAAGTTCCTGTCTGCAAGCTTGCTCTCGATGGAGTCTCTGAAGTCACGCCACAGACCACAGACACTTACTGTTTCCTCCCACCTGGTCAAAATAGATCGATCAAGTTAGGTAACCTTGCATTTCATTTTTCACATCATTACATCATTATCTTGATAGGTGGCAAAATCTGACCTGTCAAAACACTCTGACCTGTCCACGTGTGATGGGCAAATTCCATCAGGGTCAGTGAACCTTTTCGAGGTGTATCCAACTGTTAGGAGAAAAAGAAAATGGTGGATGAGCTTTATTTTTTCAAATTTTTTAAAAAATCAAAGTTATTCACAGAGAACCTACCCGGAAGGTGTGAGTTGTGCTGGGCCTTGAAAGCTGCTCCAGGGCAATGGTTCTCTCTCGTAGAGGCGATCGCTCTACGCAGTCAGGCACGGCACTTAACACCCGGTCTTGTGGATGCCTTCCTCTGTGCTAAAAGAAGGATCATATGTCAGAAAAATCTATGAATGTTTCAATCATTTGCTCGTTGATTCACTGGCATGCTTATTTGGAAATTTTATTTAGATATTGCTAAGTATATGGACTATTAGGGATAAACAGCTAAATACGTCTTGATTTACATAACTGTTTAATTAAACCAGGTAAAAATACTATCATGACAATAAATAAACAGAGATCAAGACTTAACTACAGGGACAAATTTCCTATGATGAATGTGATCAATATGTATGACAAATATATAGTAATAAAAAATAAAGTTTTAAAAAACCCTAACCACATAAAATTCTTAATATTAAATTACACCAGAAATGTAATTCTGTATTTGTGAAGCATCAGACTTCCTTATTGGACATTTACTTCCTTTTCTGACTTCATCCTAAGGGGGCGTGTAAGAGCATTACCACTCTTGCCTTCTGGGCCTGTATTTACCGCAGTGCCACAGCTGGCACAGGTTAGGTAAGGGACGGGCAGAGCTGTTTGCACACTGCCATGCAACTTGGCACTGAAACCCACTCTTGGCTGAGTAGGGTTTTTTGCCTGCCTCCCTCTGCCTCCCTTTCTCTCTTTCTCTCTCTCTGTCTCTGTGTTCTTACAACTGGGATCCTTGTAGAGAAGGAGATTCAAGTTACTTATATCAGAATGAGGCATCCAGAGGAAGCCGGGCTAGTCATACTTCCAGCAGCACACTGTCCCCAGACCCGCTGCGAACGGAGCTTGAGTGAAGTCACTGCCTCTACACTGCAGTAAACATGCCAAAGGTCAGTTGTAAAAATGAGAGCTGATAAAAATAATGAGGATAATAATTTACTCAGCTATTCATCTATGCCTGGTATTTAAAATGCATTTCTAATCCTTATAATAATTCCTGGAAATAAGTATCATTATTACCCTTTTTTCTGTTTGCACTGTGAATCCTATTTCTTTTTTAAATTAAATTTATTAGCAGATTTTTGGCATACATAATGATCACATTCATCATAGGGAATTTGAACCTGTACATGATATATCCTGATTCTTTTTATTTTTCCCAGACCCCTACCCTCCCTTCACCCTTTTATAGATGAGAAAACTATGGGTCAGGAAGATTAAAATAACTTGTACCAAATCACGGTTTGCATGACAGGATCCAAACACAGACCGCTTTCCTTTGACCAGAACTAAACTCCAGGCTCTTGACATCTCTATACCATCTTGACCATCAGACATTTCCTCGACACCTGCGTTTTCTGATTCCGTTCAAGCCCCATTTTTATTTCACAAAGTGGTAAACGAACCCTCTCATCCCCTGTAAATTCTCATAAATCATTTACTTCCTGGAAACAGATTACGAAGACAGAATATAACTAATCAGATCTATGTTATTATGTTGCTGACTCTCTGGAAAGTACCAAGATTTTTTTTCGTCTTCCAATAGATCATCTAAATGGCTGCAGTTAAAATGATATCTGTCTTACGGATACAGAGCGGGATCCAGAAAATGCTGTGTTCTGCTCCCCAGAGTCTGAGCCAATTGGGGGCAACCGGCTCCGGGAAGTTTGAACCGGAGGGGAAGACAAGTAGTCTACACCAGTTTGCCTGTAAATACAAGGAGATGCAACTGAACGCCCGGGTCCAGAGAGAGACAGGAGCAGGTCCTACCATGCAGCTTTCAACTTGAGCTACTGGTCACAATCTGCCTTTCAAATTCCATGCTTAAGAAGCACAAACTTCATTTCAGAAAGACAGATGTGAGGCTACTGGGAAAGAGACCTCTGCCTGTACGGGGTGGGGGGACTATACAATGGTTCAGCCACTCTAGGAAGCACTTTGGCAAAGTATTTCAAGAACCTTGAACATATTCATAACCTTGACTTAGTCGTTTTCTTTCTAGGACTGTACCCTAGGAAAGAAGTTTTTTTGTTGTTGTTTTTTTCCAGTACCAGGAATCAAACTCACGACCTTGCACTTGCCAGGCAGGCGCGGTGCTGCTGAGCTAAATCCCCAGCCCCACTAGGAAATAAGTTACAGACATCCTTATTCAAAGTGATAGAAGATAATGTTCACTGTCCATCATCAGAATGAAAATACAGAGAAAGTTAAAATTTGCACTAATAAAGAAATTCATACTTAATAAATGATCATCAACTCGCCTAAGGCAAGTGGTACAGGGCTAGACTCCAGAGCCAGAGGGTGCTGTGAGTGTCTCACTCCACCTCCCTAGGTGTAATCTTTGAAATTACTCAAATTTTTTCAACTTGTTTTCTCATTTTAGATTTGGAATAATTGAGTACCAACCAGAAAGATCTGTGACAGGAAATAAATATGATAATAAATGTAACCCATTCACCTGGTGCTGGTAACAAAGAAAGAAGTAAATAAACACTAGCTACTAGTATTAATGAAGGTATTGTCTGACAGTGAATAAGTCAGCTGGAAAGCTCCTTTGGAATTCTATGATAAAAGAAGAGACAATAGCTTTCTAAATAGGGCATGATTTTGTTGTTCATTCCTAAGGTCAAAAGCTTTTCTGAAATTCTTAAAGTAAATAGTAAAACAAAATACAGTTTTACGAAAAATAGTACAACTATTCCTTAAAGATAAATAAAAACAGAGTATTAGGTGTATAACCCTTCTATTATTATTATTATTATTATTATATTATTACTATTATTATTACAATTATTATTGAGACAGGGTCTTGGCATGTTGCCCAGGCTGGTCTCTAACTCCTTGGCTTAAGAAATTCACCTGCCTCTACCTACCAAATAATTGTGAATATAGGTATGCAACCACACCCAGCATTACATCACTTTTATTTTTAAAGCACCTTATATAAAGTCATGTGTAGAATAATAATGATACTTTCTGAGAAATTTATCCTTAGGCAAATTTCATCAGTGTGCAAATATCATACAGTGTGTATCTACCTAAACAGCTATGACGTCACTAGGCAACATCTTCTTATGGGACCATCATATACAGTGCATGATGGTACACTATTTTTATTTAAACCTCCTCATTAAAAGTATTATGTAATTTTAAAGCATTAACTAATTATTTGTTTTAAAGATGAGTCCACTGACATCCATCCAAAAGCACCCTACCACCAGAGTTTCATTTTATCTATGAGCTACTGGTACACTGACTTTTCATTCTGGCATACAGCTATGTATACTACTGGAATAAAATTAGTGTTAAATAGTGAAAGAAATTTATTAGAAAAGAGTGGACATAAAATCTGATAGGAATCTTCTGTCTAGAATAATCCATCAATTCTCATTCACAAGTGTCTCTGTCCTCCCCACATCTGTTTTTTTGTTTTTTTCTGGTACCGGGAACCGAACTCACAACCTTGAGCTTGCCAGGCAGGCGCTTTGCCGCTAAGCTAAATCCCCAGCCCCAAGTGTCTCTGTCCTATGGGACCTTTGGCTTACCATGAAAGAACAAGACTTACAGTTTTATTCCTCTAAGAATTTCATCACTGTACACATTGGGGGTTTTTATTCTCAGTGAATCTGACATAAGAGAAGGCAGCCTCCTATGCACAACTGTTTTGTTGGCAGAAATCTGTAATCCTCTCCCATCTGAAGTCCGCACCACCCGGTGGCGAGCAGAGGAAAGGGCACTGGCCCCTCCAGCGGATGGTTTGTCCTCCTGCTCACTCCTGGGGAGGGAAATCCAGTTATGTAAATGCTGTAGGAACAGAGCACACATCTACAGCAGTGCCTGACACACACAGAGAACATACCCCTCTGAGTGTCTGCTGAATGAATGCACAGACTATCACTTCCAATTCTGTGTGAAAGAAGAGTCACTCAGAGGAAAAAAGATCTACATTTCTTACTGTTGCTAACAAAATAGCAAAGCCCACAGGTTAAGGATTCTATTCTATACGTTGCTTTTCTCATCTCTCCCAGCCCAATACGTAACTGTCATTATTTTGTAGTTGATATTAGAAGAATTTGCTTTTATTCTTATATGCTAGCTGTACCCTCTCCAGAGTGTGCTTAGGCACCGCTGGAGCATGAGATTAAATGGGAACTTCCTTGCCACATGTCCCTGCAGGCCTCGGTGCTCAAATGTATTACCAACGCAGGGAAGTAGTTGAGCGAGTCTTATACGTACTGTGCTCTCTCTGAAAAGTAGGTAGGTCTCTGCTGAAGAGGTTTTGCTTGAATTGTCATCACACCATTCAGATCACTATAGAAATTATTGGAGAAGCGATGAATCTGAGAAAAGTAAAGAATAAGTAAAATGAAAAATAAAAAGAGAAAATGTCCAGTGCTGTTACAATTATTGACGCATGTCAGGAATGAGGAGGAAACAAATTGCACAAACTGGCTAATCTGAGAAAATTTTAGTAAAAGGAATATATTGTACACATATAAATCTCATTTTGCAAGGTTCTGCATATTAAACAAGGTGCATACTGCATATTAAACATACTGCATATTAAACAAGGTAGGAAACACTGTATTAAACCTAACAGAGCAATTTAGAGAGAGCAAAAAACACAATAAGCAGGTAACAACTTGAATATTTTGAGACAGGGTATCACTAAGTCTCTAAATTGCACAGACTGGGCTCCTTGAACTTGAGACCCTCCAGCACCAGCCGCTCAGAGTGTTGGGACTGCAGGTATGTGCCGCCACATTCAGCTCAGACTTATCTTTTGAGCAGAAAAAAAAAAACACACAGACTTATTGCAAAGCCCTTCTACTACAGAGGAAAGCAAGCCTAACAGGTATTGTTGAATTCAATTTTTTGAAGATGTTTCCTTTATTTGCTTCTGTGCTAAGTGCATATTTTTGTCTCTCCCTTTACTTTTTTAATTTAATGAGTCTTACCTAAACTTTTTTTTTTTTATTTTAAAGAGTAAAAGAAGGATAACATAATAATAGGGGGGACTTAGCAAATTACAGACAAAATGGTAGGAAATTATCAATGGTCTTACCTAAACTTAAAGCTCAGCTTATGTCTTATCCTAGCTTGTGAAAAGGATATTTTTACTCTTAATTGGACAGCCCTCATGATTTAAGGGCCATCTTATTATGAAATATAATATATACTAGAGCATTTGCTTATAATGAAAGCTAATACTTAAGAATGCCTACTCCAGGCTACACACTATACTACATGTCTTATTTCCTTTAATTCTCACACCTTCTTACTGCATAGATGATATAGGTAATGAAACTGAGGTTTTCAGAGAAAGGGACTAATTTGAGATCATATAGTTAATCAGTGGTGTTGTCAGGCTCCAAACCTATAGTCTATATGCAAAGCTCAACTTTTTAATCAGTCAACTCTGAACTACAATTCCTCTTCATGCATGTGTGTCTGTGTGCTTGTGTGTGGATATGTGTTTGACATGGCTTAACTAAACTGTAAACAGTACATAGCTTAAGACCAGGAATCATTTCTAATCCTTTTTCTCTGCTCCGCACACAAGATCCACTACGTGAAACACAAAGGTCAAATTCCCTCGCATACTGAAGCCCTGCCCTGAGTAAGTCCATCCTTTGCAGCCTCACTTGCTACTACTGTTGCCGCCACTGCTATTTCCAGTCTTCTACCCTCTCCACCCTCACTCAAATCACTAGTTCCCAAAGGCATTCGTCTCTTACTCACCCATGCCTTTGACCTGAAATGTTCCACTGAGTGTTTTTAACCTACAAAACCTCATTTCTTCATGTTTCTTCTCAGAGTTCACCTCTAGTATCAGTGATCAATCCCCATCCTCTAACTAGGGTGAATTATTATTTGATTGTTCTACAATGTTTTCTTACATACCCCTCAGAGAATGTATTACACCTAACTTTGTGTCATCATTTTCACTAGGTCAGGGACTGTATACTCATCTGTATATTCCCTCCAAGCACCTAATATGGTATGTGTAATGCAAACAATTCTTCAATGAACCCCATAAATATTCATTGATTCTTCTGTCACTTTGGTGAAAAGATAAGAAGTCATTTATAACTTTAAATTGGCTAAAATTTTAGGTAAAAATATTTTTTCCTCTAGCAAAAAGTAGCTGCACATTTCAAAGCAGTGTCCACTAAAACATGTGGCAGTTGTGTTAAACATCATGAAATAATATTTCAATTTAATCTTGTTGACAAGTACCCAAATACCTTGATAGAAGAATTGAGTAGAACAACACTCTTGACAAGGTGCGAGATAGGAAGATTAAAGGAGAAAGAGATACAGGAAGTAAACGCATCTACCTGAGACGGATTCAGTTGTGAAGCCAGGGACACACAGCGAGTTTCAGAACTTCTGGATGGGGGAACACTTGGCATATCTGTGCTGCTGCGGGGAATGAGCACATGTGGAGATCTACTTTCAGCTGCTTTCAATTTTTCTTTCTGCTTTTTTCCGTCTGTGTCAATGGAAAAATCAGTATTTTAACGACATCAAGTTATACAAATACTCAAAATTCACTCTTCAAAGAGAATATTTGCTCTTCAATTACTATAAATTTATATTAAGACCACTGATTACAAAACAGTGCAGAAGAAAGCAGAGAGCCCCAGGAGCAGCTGGCTAATGTAATTACACTGCATGGTATATAAGACTGAGACTACACAGTAGCGCAATAAAGACTGTCAGAGTTTTATAAATACAATGCAACTAATCTCTTTGGCTGGAAAAAGATGACATTAAAATTAACATGATTACCGCCCCTTATTTTATCAATCGATAACCAAAAACTAGTTATTAATGTTTACTACCAATATTTCTATAGTTTTTTTCTGCTCAATTTCAGGTGGTTTAGAGAACATTTTATAAGATAAATGAAGTGATGACTAAATTAGCCTTGTTTACATTTTACTTTATAAACAACGTCATGAAAGTGTTTTAAAAATCTCATGATTAAAGATTAGTTTGGTGAGCTTTTTTTACCCACAATGTGTTTCTGTGATTTCCCCAGACTGCGTATGTATTATTTTTGTAACCCTCAAAACAATAATGCCCTTTGGAAGTGATGAGTGATTACATAAGAAGGTAGGCAGTCGGCCACTTTTCTTCTCACTGCAGTCATACACAAGACGTGGCCGGGTTGGAGGCACAAAGCTGAAGGAAGGGGATCTCCTTTTTTCCGTTCAGTAGGCCAAATCCTACAAAGAAGTACCTGTAAGCGTAGTTTCCCAGTTCTTCCGAATTAGTTCTTCCAATATTTCTACCACATTTTTCCAAACATGATCGAATACTTCTGCTGCCACAGTGTCTTTGATGCAGTCATGAGGGGAGATGGGAGGAAGTCTGTGTTTATCCCATTTCCTGCCAGAGTGAGTTGGCTTGTGTTCAAGATGTTCATCACCACTAAGGATAAAAGCCCATTCTAATTACCAGAGTAACCAGGTTAAAGTTACACTCTATCACTTCTTAGCCATCTATTGATCTGTAATGAGTGTATATGCACATGCATACATATCTTAATAAATATACATTCCTTTTGGGGCAGCACATGGTAATTTTTCATATATACAATTTTTATTTGTCAATTTTACCTCAATAAAGTGAAGGACAAAGCAAAGCAAGCAATTTATTCCACTTTTCTTCCTAGTCTCTACTTCATTTATATCTGTCCCATCTGTTACCTCCTGCCTTTCTTAACTCTGGGCTTAATTTGTTCTTTTTCTTGTCCCTTCCGATGTGAATCCAGCGTCCTTATTTTAACTCTTCAAATCGAAGGTATTCATTGCTGTAAATTTCCCTCTTAGAATAGCTTTTGTTTTATCCCACAAGTCTTAGCAGGTTGTACTGCCATTTTCGTTTATCTCAAGATACATTTTGTTTTCCTTTTGATTTCTTCTCTGAATCATTAGCTCAGGAATATGTTGTTTAATTTTTTTTTTTTTTTTTTTTTTTTTTTTTTTTTCTCTGGTACCGGGAACCGAACTCACGACCTTGCGCTTGCCAGGCAGGCGCTTTTGCCGCTGAGCTAAATCCCCAGCCCCTTATGTTGTTTAATTTCTACTTACTGGTGAATTTTCTAGATTTCCCCCTGTTACTGATTTCTGATTTCCAACTACAGTAATATGCTTTGAGGAGAGGCTTGATATGATTTCAGTCTTTTTAAATTTGTTGAGACGTATTTTAGCAACTGATTATTTCTTTAACAATTTTCAATCGCAAAGCAAATTTTTACCCTTCATTATTTGTTTAAGAGCAAAATATGCACATTAGGTATGGAACTCTGCCATTGCTCTTTCCGCTGCCAGACACAGAGATCCTGGAGCCCCCAGGGCACTAGGTAGGGTCAGTGGCCTTATCCAGTTTCACTAGCATGCAGGACACAGCTCTGGTTTTCTATCATCTGTGCCATGAGTCCATGAAGAAAGGCAGTGACTGCTGTAGTATACACACTTCCTGCTAGGAACTGAAAAAAATCTGGAGGGTGCACATTACTGTCAAAAGAATAGAAATCTTCTGGATAGGTAAAAAATACACAGAACACTGGATGAGCATTATCTTAGTCACTTTCCCATCACTGGATACAATAATGACACTCAAAGGAGCAGAGGTTAATTTCCATTACAGCTTCTCGTTGGCTGGCCCCAAGGCAGAAACAGGGCAGCAGAGGGGCATGGCACAGGAAAAGGTGCTCACCCCATGGCGACCAGAAAAGAGAGAATAAAGGAAGGCGACAGAAGCAAGAATATGCTCCCCCAGGTCACACCCCCAGCGACTCACATCTTGTGATCAGTCCCCAGCTTCTAAAACACACTTGGCGCTGAACTCTTCAATGGATTAATCGCCTGATGAGTATTACAGTATTAGTGCCCGCATGATCTGATCACCTCCCAAAAGCCCAGCTTGTGAATGCATGAGCCTTGGAGCGGGGGATTCTAGACCCAAACCATAACAAAGGTATAATAAAAATGTCAAATAAGTTAACATTATACTACAAAGTCAATGTCAAATAAAACTCTACTCACTCTTCTTTTCTGTCAAAAGCAAAATACTCTTCAATCTTCCCATCCATACCATAAACCTCTTCTTCCAGGCATGAACATGCCACGTGGCTGGCAATCCCTGTGCCGTCTGAGCTCGGCAGGACAGAGGCTTCGAGTGCTGCAGGCACTATCTGAGAGCCGGAGATGCACAGCCTGTGGGGAAAAACCAGACTGTCTGGGAGTTCGTGGAAGACAAGACTGTAGTGCTTGCATGATCACAGCGATCTTTAAACTATCCATCAAGTACAAAATCGTAATTTGAAAATCACATTACATATCACATTTGACAAAACTCATCTTCTTAAAGACATTTTAACACAAGCATCATAAAAATTTTGAAGGGCTGCTGAAAAGATTAAGTCATTCTTCATGTCTGTATCCTCTGTGCTATCTTAAAATGAGGTGAAGACACAGTGAAATGTGTAATTGAAATAAAGAGATTTGTCAGCCTGTTAGGGAGCCCAAGAAAACAAACTAGTGCTTTATTTCTTCTGCTTCCACTGCCTCAAGACTTAGGATCTGTCCCAATGAGGTGGTGTTTGATTCTATATCTATTCCACCTCACCAGTGCCTCCGGAACTGTGTGTGTATGTTCTATACGTGCTTTCTTTATACACACGCGCGCGCGCACACACATACACACACACACACACACACGTATCATCAATTTGGGATCAAAAACATGTTGTAAAAGTTGTTCTCTGTACCTGTCATCCACTGAAATCTAAATCTACATATTTGGTGGAGCTAAGAATCACGAGTGAGATGAACTGAAAAAGATGACTAAAATACAGCTACAAACAGTTTTGGAAAGTAACGTATGTGAACATACGCTCCGATGTTGCTGTTGGGTTCAGGGGCATCAGATAAGCGTTTGTGGCTGGCAGAACTTGGCAGGCTGCCCTGGAAGTGTTGGAAGCCTTCATCAGTCGGCAGGATGAGCTGTCTTCCTAATACTCTGCAAGGGAGAAAAAGAAGCTAAGCTACTAACACCTTCGATCAGACAAGGGGAAAATGTTTTCTGATTTTTAAAGCTGCATGTGCTGGAGCATGTCTGTAACCCAGATACCTGTTGCTCGCATACACTGAATGTGAAGGTGAAACATCACTGACTGCTCCTGCATGTGAGATACCAAGGAGGACTGCAAGCATCGAGCCTATTCCGAGTAACTTATCAACATAGCCAGACCCTGTCTCAGCCAATCAATCAATCAGTCAATCAAAGGTGGAGAGCCTTGGGATACTTCAGTGTGAACTCCCTGGCTTCAGTCCCCAGTACCACAACAAATAAATAAATAAATAGTAGGGTACAATAATGATTTTACAGACATGGGTATGTCTCAATGTAGTATGCACTGGCCCACAAAAAGCACCCTGGTCTTAGAGAAAAAGGCAGCTTGCTGAGGCAAGACAGTCTCTTCTTGACCACAGACTAAGTAAGAGTTGGAGGTAAAGTTCCTCTACTCTTTCTCAGGCACTGGTTTCACTTACTTGTTTTTCAGATGCAAAACAGAATCTGGTGAGCAGTTTAAAGATAATCCACAACAGACTCAGGTGTCTAAGGCAAAGATGGTCACAGAGAAACTCTGTAAATACTAACTAATATATCTAGTAAGTATATATATATGTATAATAATAAATATCTGTATGTATAAGTATTTGGCTTGTGCACTCATGACCTTTTCTTTTTCTACTTTCCCTCCACTTTAATCTTAACTATGTAAGATACAGTGCAGGATGAAGTCTGAGCTCCTGATTTTTTGGTAAGTGTACCATTCCCAGAACAGTACACATCCACAATTGCTATCTAGTAGGGAGTAACTGACCTTTAAGGCAGGGGCTTATGAAAGACTGGAAAGAAAAAAACCCTCAGTTATGATTTTTGTGAAGTTGTCTAGTCACACTAGCCAGAAAATTCAAAGCCCATTTATACAGTGACCCTCGCTGTCAGAAACAGTGATGAGACAGAAAGGCTCACCCACCTAGTCTCTCAGAAAATAACTACTCTGCCCTCCTGAGCGCTCCTCGAATTGTTCTCAGTGACGACAGATACCTGTTGCTCACATACGTTGAATGTGAAGGTGAAACACCGCTAACTGCTCCTGCATGTGTTATATATGAATGCGAAGTCTTTCCAAGCAGGAGCTAGATTTGCTTCTCACCAGATGAAGGGCACTTGGGTCATGTCATGTCTCGATATTTCATGGGGCACCATAATGACACATGGGTCTTGTCAGTAAGTAATTGCGTTCTGGATGCCTACTTTGCTTGGGCAAATTCAGTCAGGCAAAATGCACCTGGATCGGAAGAATGTCCACAAAAACCCACTTCCGAGAATGTTTCAGGACATCTCTACCTCAGATGGTGGGATCTGCCGGCCCACTCACTGCACTCCGCCAGGAGGTTTTGGGTCTGCGCACCCACTTTCCCTTCAAACAGCATTTCCTCCACCTCCCAAAACAACTGTTGCACTCTCTGGGCACTGGCTCTATCAAATTCCTGGAACAGAAATGCACAGTTATTTACGGCAATGAAAGTTATACAAACACGGGTTTCACAACTGATAGCCTTTATAAATGTAAAATAACTTACATGGGGGAAGTATAATAATGTGACAAGAATGCAGACTTCTACATTGACAGACAAATGTGTGCCCTCTCACCCTTACGTTTTTGATCAATTGCACCTCATTCTGATTGTTACGTCTCCGCTTCAGATTTCTCCACTGTAAAACAGAGATGACTTCTGCCTCATGAATTATGAGAGTCATCTGAGGTTTTACACATGAGATGTGACTTACAGCAAATGTTTAAATAACAACTTAAAAATTATTACAGTAACAGAGGCACTGCCATTAATCCCCTTAAAATACTCCCTTTTGATTTGAACACACTTGCGCTGTCATTCTTGCCACTTTTTGAAGCAGTTCCGGATGTCCTCTTTCACGAGTAGCTTTTCATGGCTGCCTTGATGTTCTGAGTCCATTAAAAACTTTTATGGCAATTTTTGCCAAATAAAAACATTACGGTGTGTCATCTTTATCCACCTTATTCACCAGACCCAGCACTGTGCAACTTCTTGCTCTTTCCCAAAGTCAAAAGTACCATTAAAAATAAATATTTTGAATCAACTTACAATATCACAGCACTGCAACAGCACAATTAAAGATACTTACAAGAAAGGACACCCAGAACTGTTTCAGAAAGTGGCAGGAACAATGGGATAAGTATGCTCAAAGGAAGAGGCATTAATGGCAATGTTTCTTTTACTGTAATAGTGCTTTTCAAATGTAAACATTCACTGTATTTATTAATCATACATAGTAGACAGATAAGTATGGGGGAGGGCCCCCTGTAGTCATCAATATGGATGTCATCAATATTGATGACTACATCAATATGTAGTCATCAATATGGACACGGACTTACACACGCTCAGATACACCCATGTACATACTTTGGCATGCCTCTCGGGGGTGCTGCTTAGTGTACCTAAGCCCATCTGGGAAATACAAGCTATTTTTTCTTCTAATGATACAAAGGAAAAAAGAAATTACTTTGTAGAAAAATCCATTAACCTTTTCATCTATAAAGGAGAAAGATTCTAAAACATCTTTAGTTATTAGGGTGATACCAGAGTATTTTTTCTCCTCTCTACCTTGGTCAGTGCTGTAACAGAGAAGTAATGCTACACCATAGGCCCCAGGCTGTGTTTTCTTCTAGGTGCACCTGAAGCCGGCATCTAATCCACAGCTCAAAGCGCCACAGTGCATATCCAGTTAGACATACCTGACCCAAAATGGTTCAGGTTGATTTTCACACATTATTCACTACATTATTTTGTGTTAGTTCTTCTCTCAAATTGCTAATAAACTAAATTCCCAGATTACAGGGGAGCTCTACCAAGGTTTTTAAAATGCAACAAAGAGAAAACCACTAATACTTGTCTCTTAAAAGGTGACTAGGTGGCTGGAGCAGGGAGAAGGCTCACTTTTATGCTGCTGTGTTGTATTTCGTTGCTTTTACAAATATTTCCTACCAAAAAATAATTTTAAAATTTAAATTATAATGAAAAGGAAATTTCATCCCTGGAGTAATTTAAATTCTGTAAGAGGAAGTGATGAGCATCTCCCTTGACACCCCATGAAAATCTGTGCTGAAAGAATCCTAGGACAGGGTGAAGCAATGGTTCCGAGCGCCCTTGGCAGGCTCAGTTAAGAGTGCGAGGTGAGAGGGCCCTGCACTGAAAAGGCACTGGGGTGGCAGCATAATCGAGGGAGCCGCAGTGATTCTGAGCTGACCCCTTCCAGACCCCTCCGTGCCCTTCTCACTGCCCACTCCTTGGGGACTCACTGCGCCCAATCACAGGAGGAAGTAGACTGACACATGCTGGGAGAGTGGAGAACTGTTCTTAAAGACAAGGAATAAAAGCAGACCACATCAACACAGAAAACTAGAACCCAAGATGCTTTCATTGCAGCTCTTCTGTAACCAGATGGGCTTCTCCCAAACTGGACCCCAGGAAGCTCGGGGGCACTGGCTGGGAAACAGAGGCAGGAGACCATGGAGGCAGCAGAGTGTGTAGCAAAGCCAGAAGTGTAGCTAAGAGCTTTGGCAGCTAAGACCTGCACTTTCACAAAGGACCAAAGTAAGATTACAGTTAAGAGCTTCCCTGTAGGGTTAGAAGACAAAACTGTAATATATGGTTTACAACATTAAGGGGAAATTATCTAATCATGGAACTGTTTCAGTTTTTACTTTTCCAAAATTGTTCTCTTATTAGCGTTCCTAACTGACAGACTTTTAGCCTGAATTTCAGCCATCGAGAACAAATAAGAAGTCATAAAAATAAAGTGGGAAGCAAGGTAAGGGTGGAAAACACAAACTTGCCACTAGCTAAAATTCTGGGCTATGAGATTATGAGTGATTTTCATTGTTCCTTGTATTTCATTATTTTAACATTTTTACATGCAACATCAAATACTCATACATATGTATATGTAAGTGATAATGTTTATAAACGAAGAAGTTTTCTTGAACATAAGAAAGTAATTCTTCATTGTAACTGTAATAACAGACTTATCCAAAATATTCTGAGACATACATCATCCCTCCAAGAATAAATCGAGCTCCTCTCTGTAGACAAGCCAGTAGTGGAACTCTGCGTTGAAGACCCCGCCCACGAGTTGTGCGCTTCTGTGGGTGTGCAGCTCCCACTGGACGAGAACGATGATGGGGAGTCACTGCAGAAAGGAACACAAACAACAGAAATAACATGTGCAGTACTGGGAAGAGATTATACTGTACATCAAGCAAACGTCTTGACTTCTCTAACCTACTTCTTCCTTCTTCCCTTAAATACATTTGTTAATTTCACAGTTCACTAGTTCCAAATGTTTTCATAATGTACCACTGTCACTTTTTTTTTTTTTTTTTTTTTTTGTTTTTCTCCGGTACCAGGAACCGAACTCACGACCTTGCGCTTGCCAGGCAGGCGCTTTGCCACTGAGCTAAATCCCCAGCCCCACTGTCACTTGTTTTTGAGACAGGATCTGCTATGCAGTCCAGGTTGGCACTAAACTCACTATGTAGACCAAGTAGGCCTCAAATTTATGACAATCCTCCTGCTTCAGCCTCCTGGGTACTGGGATTACAGGCATGTGCCACCACTCCTGGCTGCATTTTACTTTTAGAGATTCATGTGGCTATTCCCTGAAGTTGTTTCCCATATTTCTTATGGGCATTTTTTTTAGCCAGCAGCATTTAAGGTTAATTCTTACCTGGTATATTTATCAATGGCTTTCTGCACATTTCTTGTAAAATATGGAGGCAAAGGGTCTTTGTTTTTCACAGCAAAACTGTGCTTTCTAGGTCTTTCTGATAGTCCTCTTCTGCAAAATAAAGTAAAACATGAAAAATCTCCTTAATGTAATAATAGAGTTTTATTCACTAAAACATAAATTTCCTGTCTATAAAGTTGCCTCTCTCCTTCAGTGCCCACACACACATCCTCAAGAAGTGGGGACCCAGGTCCTTGACATTTGAATTTTTCTTAGAATTAAGGTTTCCAATAACTTGAATGCATTTTTATGTGAGCTGGAAAACATACAACATCTTTTAGTGACTCAGCCAGAGAAGTACACAGTGCCCAAAATAGCTGGCAGCGCTCCAAACATCCTTCCTCCAAATCATTAGCCCTGAGCAGTGAATCATGGGCTGGACTTCAGGTTGCCCTGACCCAGTCCTTCATATTGGTAAAACTCAACAAGCACTCCAGCAGCAAATCATTAATCCCGTGTTAGTTCTGAAAGGCACCAAATTATTTTGGACCACTAAGAAGCTACACAAACATCTAGCTCATTTTACCTTAGCATTTTTGTTAGGTATGCATGCTGGGTCTTAGAAACTTTGAACATGTTAAAATTTAATGGAAAGCTAAAAGAGAAGAAATATATAAATTTTAAATAATCTATAAACTTAACTGTGTAGCACAGTTGAAGTTAATCATTAAAATGCTCCTTCAGTGAACCTCTTAAAATATTTACTTTCCTCTGGGCAAAATATCTTCCTAATGTTAATAATGTACTACTTCTATTCTTTTAGTAGGAATCCTATTTTTCCAGGAAAATAAAATCTATGTTAGCCTAAGGTATGGTAGTGAATTAGAAAAAATATGTCAACTTTCAATATTTCTAACAAGAACACCACTCTAGTTTGCATTTAAAAGGAAAAAGTTATTTTGTTCTTAATTAAAATAGTACCTAATTTTTGGGCAGAGGATATAGCTCAGTGGTGGAGCACTTTCTTAGCATGTACAAGGTCCTAGGTTCCATCCCCAACATCACAACAAGTAAATAGAGAAGCAAAATGATATCTAATTACCAACATTTATATATTATTTTTAAATATAAGTGGACAATTCCTGCCCTTATCTATGTGTCTATGTACTCCATAATAAAGGGAATTTTAAAAACAAATTAAGACTGTAAACAGACACTAGCCAAGACCCTCTGCCCTCCATAGATACATTTTCTACAACAGAGAATAATAGAATTATATGATCACTTCCCTTTCTTTACTATGTAAGTGTCCAGTACAATCAAATAATTCTGATAAAAGTGTTAGATGTACCAGAGAAATGAATAAAGGACAAGCTTTCATGCTAATAAACTGCTTTACTTTCAGCCCTCCTGAGATGTTTTCAAACCATTAATTATGTGTCATTTACAAGGAGACTCAATAACTTTCGTAGGGAAACATAATAAAATATTAAACAAAAATTAAAAATTATAAAATATTAAATACAAGTCAACTAAAATTACATCAAATAGATCAGTTTTAAACAGTAAGTATATACTCCAAAATGAGCTAGTGTTATTGAGAAATAATTTTATTGCAGCATGATGAAACAACTAAAATTTGTTCTTTCATGATATTTTCTAACAGTGGATTAAAATTGGCTCTCCACTGAGGTTTGTGGCAAGTTAATTCTCCTAGACTCAAAACCCACATGTGCAAAAAAGCAAGGATACAGGAGTCCTCCCTTATCCCAGGAGGCTACATTCCAAGACCAATGCATTTCTGAAACTGCAGAGAGTAGTACTAAGTCATATATATATGATTTTTCCCTTTACTATGTATACACCTATAATAGTTTAATTTATAGATCAGTCACAGTAAGATATTATTAATAAAAATTAACAATAAAATAGAATGATTATAGCATTATACTATAACAAAATTGAGAGCAGCACTACTCTTGACTTTAGGGCCATGATTAACAAAATAAGGGTCACTTGAACACAAGCGCTCCAGTACTCTGGCAGTTAATCTGGTGACCGAGCAGTTACCAGTGGGCAGCACGTATACCTGGATACACTGACCAAAGGGTGATGCATACCCTGAGCACAATGGAGTAGGGTGGTTAGGAAGTTCGGCTACTCAGTTTTCCATTTATTATTTGGGGACCATGCTTGAATGCAAGTAACTGAAACTGTAGAAAACAAAACCTCAGATAAAGGGCGAACACAGGTACCTTACTGTCAATACTTTTGGTATGGTTGTGAGATGTGAAGTACATAAGTATGTAAAATGCGGCCTTTATCACTTCCTGTCGCTGAGACAAAATACCCACAGCTACAACTTGAAGGAGCTTATTTTTGCTTCATGGTTTTAGCCCATGGTCAGATGGCTCCAAGGCAGAGATAGATGGCAGAGGGGCATGGCAGAGAAAAGATGCTCAACTTCCAGTGGCCAAGGAGCATGGGACAAGAATATTTCCCTCCAGGTCACGCCCACGGTGGCCCACCTCCAACCAGGCCACATTTCGCTGCTGAGCCCACTGATGGCCACAGCAGCACCAAGGTTCGATCACCTTCCACACACAGGAAAGTCTGGGGGAGCGTTTCATTTTTATTTTAAAGAGAATAAAAAATAAAAACATTAAAAGAACACAAAATTTCAAAACAAGATGATAGGAAATGAACAATGGTTGTTATGGCATATTGTTATCTTCAAGGTAGTTGTCCAGATTACCAGATATAGGCATGTAAAATTGATCAAAAAAATTAAGCATAAACTATTCCTTTCAATAAACCAAAAGAAATTAGTAGTACAATTATCGTAGCTATCTTGTATGTGTGTGTGTATATATATATTTTCCCTTTCTTTCTTTTTCTTTCTTTCTTTCTTTCTTTCTTTCTTTCTTTCTTTCTTTCTTTCTTTCTTTCTTTCTCTTTCTTTTCTCCTTCCCTCATCTCACTTGTTCCTTCCCTTTGAGCAACTTCTTTCACTTTCACTATATCTATTGTACCTTTTGGATCTTATTTACTCTTTCAGTTTCTTACATTAGGGAGACAATACAATGTTTACACATGTGGGTCTGATTTATTTCACTTATGAGTATAGTCTCTAGTAGCATCCCTTTACCTATAAAAGCCTCGAGTTTACCTTTCTTTATAGCTGAGTAATACTTTTATTATACAAAAATACCGCATCTTTTTTATCCATTCTCAGCTGATGGACATTTGGGTTGTTTCCAAGATTTAGCTATGATAAATTGCGCTGCTATAAACGTGTGTGCATATACTGCTGTGGTATGATGTTTTCAGTTTTTCTGGAAAAATACCAGGAGGGCAATAGCTGGGTCAAACAGGACTTCTAATTCTAGTCTTTAAAAGAATCTCCACACTGATTTCCACAGTGGTTTTACCAGTCTACACTCCCACCAACAGTGGAGAAGGGTTCCTTTTACCCCACAGCCTTGCCAGCATTTGGTCTTGGTTGATTTCTTGATGATAGCCCTCCTTTCTGGGGTAAGATGGAATCTCAGTGTTGTTTTAATTTGTATTTCTCAGATGACTAATGATGCTGAACATTTTTTCATGTATTTATTTGCTATTTATATTTCTTCATCTGATAACTGGATCTTTGAATTTTGGGGACCTGATTTTTTTAAGTCCTTTGTATGTTCTAGATAGACATTTTAAATTTAAACAATATGTGGTGGATTCACAACTAGTGGTTATCTTGTAACACTCAGCTGAAGTGAACCAGGAACAGCATCTTCCCCTCCGGAGCCAAGAACTGATGCTCAGAGTAAGGAATAGAACTCACCCAAAGTGAATCTTAGCCATTCTCAGTGACTACAAGGTCCCCAACTCCTCCAATGATGAGAATAGTCAAGTGCATCCTGAAAGTCAGCATGATAAGCTCCTCCAGGAGAACTAACAGCTCCCTAACAGTTTGCAAAAGCTTCTAAACGTCTTCCTCTCCAGTTCTGCCTCTTGTGCTGCTAACAGCAATCCTCAGGTGGGCTGTGATACTTTTCAGGGGAACTCTGGTCTTTACTTTGAGTGTTACTTCCTGGCTCCTATGTAGATTTCTCAGCCTGCCTTCACAGATCTTTCTTCACACTGGCAGAGACTTTCTAACTTCCACCATTGACATCTGGGCCTTGCCAGCGCAGATCCGTGAAACAGGCCCACATGAGACATTGTGCTGGGCTCTAGGCTTCCAGTTGGACTCGTGGGAGGACTCATGCAGGACATTGCTGTGGGATCCAGGCCCTCAGCTGGATTCTTTGGTCTTTAATGAGTGGACAGATTTCCTGCACTCTCTTTGTATATGACTCTTTGGGTGACTATTATAAAATAATTCTACAAATTATGTGTCCTGTATCATACCATTCCGCTTGCAAACCCCTGACTACAACACTGTAACAACTGTCTTATATAATCAGTGCTGGATCCACCAGGTTTATCTATCACTGCTATTATTATCACATGCTACCATAAGAAAATGCTCATATGGTTTCTTTGTACCTTCTCTAGCATTTTGTACTATATAGATCCCTTTGGCATTTTAATTTTTCCTTGTGATCTTGACACCTTAATGCTTCTCACATGAGCAATGATTTGTTGAAAGAATCAATAGGTAATGATTAAATTAACAATGAAAACACAGAACACATTATCACTCTATAAGCACTATCATATTCATGCTTACAACAAAAGATTACACTGTAACCAGATATTAAAATATTCTCCAAATTCAGGATATTTCTGAGTATTTTAAAATTTTTATAGAAAAAGAAAATCAGTTATTCATATACCTTATACCCCTAGAAAAGACTTGTTCACTGCCATTTTTCTGCTTATAACTCATCTGACTTTGGTGTCATTTGAAATCAATCTTCATTCATCTGAAGCATGCCAATTTGCTTTATTTTCAATAAACAAACTAAAATGAACAAACTGAAAAGAAAAATATTTTTGAATGGGCAGCTAATTTTTCTCCTACTCACTGGGGATTGTAACTGTGAACAGGAGGTCTTGAGGAAACAGGGCAAGGTAAGTGGGAAGCTCTGCAAGGATCACAGGAATTTGTATAA